CTGTGTCTCTGTCAAATAAATAAATAAAATCTTAAAAAAAAAAAATGTAAATTTGGTTAAAGGGTTGGAAGGCAGAATTATGTTACTGTGCTTGCTTGGAACCATGCTGCATGTTCTGTTAGGAGGGGACAGACCAGGCAGGATAAAGCATCAGAAGGCCCATAAAACCGTCCGTTACTTACAAAACACCTGACATAACCAAACACATGTGTCTGACATACGTTCCTTCGTGCATTCGATAACCACGGGCAACTGCTTACTGTTTGGCTTGGTCTCTGCCCCCTCTAGACCAGCACTGCTCAAACACCAGGACCAGATATGTTTAGTAGTGCTTTGTTTTTAATTTCCAGTCCGTTGATGCCCCCAACGTGGTCCCACTGCTTGTGACTGGTACTGAGTCACAGTGCCCCCAAGACGGTCCCCACCCAGCTCTCCTGGGTGAATGTACTTGTCACACGCCTAGATGCAGGGCAGTGTCCATGTGCTATAAGGGGTTTGTAAACACTGTCTCTAGGTCTGTCCTGACCTCACCAGGGACCAGGAACACCACTCATGGGCCGCGGAGCACTGTACAGATCAAGGTAAAAAGTCTATCTACCCACGTGTTGTGGCCCCAGTGTCCAGCACAAGGCCAGGCCCATGGCAGACACACACACACACACACACACACACACACACACACACACACACAGCCTGCCACTTGCAGGGAAATTCATCCATGCTCAAGTCTTAGAACACTCTGGGCTATGTGCAAGGGAAGCAGTTTCGTCGGTTCTAGGTCTCGAACATGCGGCTCCATCTTCCTATCACCAAATACATAAGGTCCTCAGTGAGGATCCTTCTATCCAGTTATGACACTGAACTGTTCATGGGCCTTGGTATGGAGCTCCTGGGCCCGGGGACAAGCAGGGCCTTTCCCTAGCTCCTCTGATTGACGCCCAGGCCCCAGGGCTCCCAAGTCAGAGGGCAGACCCCAGGGAAGGCCACGTGTGCTGGGATGCTCCTGTTGGGGGGATGGGGATGGAGACGGGGGCTCTGGCTGGGCTGTTCCAGCTGGAACAGCATCAGGGTAGGCCCTCAATGATGTCAGATTCACACCCCGGGGGAGGCTCCATTACCTCCTCAGGTCTGCTCAGAGCATGACCCTCGGGACCTGTGATGCCCATCTCCAAGATCCGCTTCTGTTCCTGCAAGACAAGAGCACCGAGTCAGCGACTGTAGAATGTCGGCCAGGAGAGGCCGGTCCTCCGCCCCCATTAGGCAGATGGACAGCTGAGACCCCGGAAGGTGAGTGGTCTGCAGGGGTCCAACTAAGGCTGCGGGTTGATCCAGCGCTCCTTTGCCCCCTCCACTCCACCTGCCCCGTTCTGCACCCTGGAAACCTACCTCCCCACCTGCTCTCCCTTCACCAGTAAGAGGAAGGGGAGGTAAGAAATGAACTCTAAAGACGACCGGCCACCTTTCCGGGCCCTGCATCTCTGCTGCAGGGCTCTCCTCGGGGATGAAATGGGGTGTCTGGGTATTGCATGAATGTGGAAATCGAAGAGTCCTACGCTGGGAGTCCAGCCGCAGAACTGGCCATCTCTGGGACTTTGGGCGAGTTGGCCAAGTTCTCTGGCCTCAGCCTTCTCGTCTTCACATCGGAGACAAGAGCCCCTGCGTCTAGAGCTTCTGCACGGAGTCAGCGACGGGACCAAGGGTGGGGCAGAGCTCACTGACTGGCAGCGGGCTCTCACTATTCCTCTTCCTGGGGCCTGTCGTTCTATCAGGAAGCCTCTACCTTGAGCTTGTCTTAGATCCTGGAAATGATTCCCTGTGCTAATGCTCCAGATTCAAACCCATTTGCTTCGAGCTTTCCTTGCCAAAGGAATACTATAATTTCTCAAAAAAAACCTGTTTTTTATATTGCCTAGATGTCAGCTGCGCTAATTGTCACTTGCGCGGTTTCTGTAGCATCCTCAGGCACATCCCCTACAATGGGCCCCCAGCCCTATCAGCCATGGGAAAAAAAAAAAACATAATTTCAACCGCATCTCGGGTTATTAAGCTTGAGCTTATTGTGAGAATGTAAACTGTAAACGTCAAGATCTAAGAGCTGGGGTGGATTTAAGTAAACAACAGAATAATTTGAGCTATTGAAGATGGTGTTTACAGAGCATTTCTGTACACTGTTTACACAATAACTTATGTATGGAGAGATCCCTATGCAAGGCCGTTTAGCTGTCCCTTACTATTTCTGTTGGAAAGAAGGCAGGAAGCGAAGAAGGCAGGAAGGATACAAGACGCTATCACGGAGGAAAGCACAGATTACAGAAAGACTAGAACAGGGTTTCCCGAGAGAGATGGCGGGCTGAGCCCACATGTTATCTTCGCTCCCCGCTGAAACCCCACAAAAGTGACAGGAAAGGTACACAAAAGCCATGAGAAAGCAGAGCGGACAATAAAAACAAAATTTTAGAACCTGGAAAGCAGATGAGCAAAAGGTAACAGATTTATTGGAGCTGAGAAAGCTAAATCCTACGTGGGCAGTATGGAAAGCTGAGACCTCCCCCTGACGTTGAGCCCAGGAACTGGGGGCTCCCGGCTGCACGTCTCACACGCCGCTGGTGGGCATCTGGGGTTCGTTCGCTCTGGAAAACGGTTCAGCAGTTATGACCGAAGCTGAATATACATGTCCGCACCAACCAGCAATTCCACTCCCGGGTAGATACTCACAGAAATGCAAACCCAGGTTTCACAAAAGCTTTATACGCAACAGTCCCAAATTCAAACTCTCCCAATCTCCATCAATGAGAATACATTATGACCTATTCCTGCCTTGGAATTCTACAGTAATGAAGAAAAGAAAAAAAAATTGTTTCGTGGACAACAGGGAGGAATCTCACAAGCCCTATTTTGAGCAAGAGAAGCCAGACATAAAAGAACACATACCATATTGTTGCCTTTTTATCAAGTGCCAAACTAGGCCGAACACGTGTGTGTGGTGGGCGATTTCTGAGAGGCCCCCCGCGGGCCCGTCCCCGGCTCCATGCCCTGTGTAACCCCCTCATTGCAACTATACTGAACTAGCGCCTTGCTTCTAATGAACAGAACACAGACAAGAGAGATGTCCATGTCTCTGGCCGTCACTGTTGAGATGACATCACAAAGGACTATGGCCTCCACCCTGCTCACCCCCACTCCCCCTCCCGTTCTCCCACTGGCTCCCTCGGAAGGAAGCCAGGGGTTCTGCTGGGGCTGCCCGCAGGGCAAGGAACCAAGCGGGCCTTTGGGGAACAGCCAGCCAAGAACAGAGGCCATCAGTCTGAGCTTGCAAAGAACTGAATCCTGAGAACAAGCACTGGAGTGCGGCTGGAAGTCCCGCCCCAGTCTGGCCTGAGGACGGCTGCAGCCCTGCCTGACGCTGCAGCCTGCAGGGGACCCCACTACGCCACACCTGGACTCCGACACTGCAGCCTGTGGGGGACCCCACTAAGCCACACCTGGACTCCGGGCCCACGGGACCAGAAGATAATAAATGGTTATTGCTTTCAGATGCTAAGTTTTGGGGTTCCTGGTGATGTAGCCACAGAGAACTAATGTAGATAGTGATGCCCGGAAGTAGGGTGTTACCATAACAACCTCCTGAAGCTGCGGGAGTGGCTCTGGGACCAGGCAGTGCAGGGGGGCTGGAAGGATTTCAAAGCACGTGCTGGACAAAGCCCAAAGTGGCCTGGAACAGACTGTCAGTAGAAAGGCGGACATTGAGCAGCTTGGCAGTGAGAGCTCAAAAGGGAACGAGGACATTATTGGAAGCTGGAGCTTGCACCGGAACCTACTTAAAAAAAAAAGAAGGAACCAGGATATGATGGTCTTGAAAATTCTCTGCTTCTCCAAAGAGCAAAAGATAGTGCAATTAAGAAATGTCTTCTGGGGGTGTCTGGGCGGCTCAGTCCGTTGATCGTCCAACTCTTGACCGGCTCAGGTCATGACCTCAGGGTCCTGGGATCGAGCCCTGTGTTGGGCTCAGCACTCAGCATGGAGTTTGCTTGAAATTCTCTCTCTCCCTCTGCCCTTCCCCTCCCCCCGCCACCATGCTCTCTCTCTCAAATAAACAAGTCTTAAAAAAAAATCTCAAAGAAATGTCTCCTGAGCAAATATCAAATCCAGGACATAAGCAGCAGACAGTAGTCCAGAGACAAAACTGGGGTGTGGCCCCACAACGTTGGTGAAGAACTGGAAAGATGGAGGCTTGTGCCTCCAGGATGAATCAGTCACAAAAAAGCCCTTTAAAGAGACTGACGGTGTACCCCCAGAGCCTCTCCAACTGGAGGGCCTCCAGGAAGCTCAGGGCATGAGCAGGATAGGAGTAAGCTTATCTGGTAGAAATCTGTGGGTGTCTTTTGTCTGATGGAGTGAACCACGGAGGGAGTCACAGGAAGCCAACAAAGGCTGGGAGAATCACTTTAGCAAAACCCTGGCAGCCTGGGCTGAATGGTATGAAAGGACACAGTTGGACCTCCAAACTCTACTGGGCAGGAAGGAGGCTCAGCGGCAAGCACATGCTACTTTTCATGGAAAGGATGGATGATGGGAAGTGGGGAGATAGAACCTAGAGCCCAGAAGGTGGAGCCAAGAGCCAAGCAGAACTACTCGCAGGCTCCAAGGCCTAATCAAGAAACTGCCAACACGTGCCCAACTGCATTTCAGAACAGCTATGGACCAATCCTGAAGCCTTCCATTGTCCCTCTTGAAAAGGAATGTCCCCCCACCGTTGTATGCTGTATGCTGTGTATGTTGGGAGGAGGCAGATAACTTGCCTCTTTGGCTCCAGAGACCTAAAGATTGGAGGAACTATCCCCACGGAGCCTCCTCTGCACCTAGATCTGACTTAGACACTTCTAGACTTTGGTGCTGTGATGGGAGTCTGGAGGACACTGGAAGGGGATGGATGTGTTCTGCATGTGAGCGGGACACCAATCACTGGGAGGGCACAATGGCAGACAGCTCTGAGAGGGCCCCCAGTGATCCTAACTTCCTGGCATTCACACCCTTGTGTCATCCCAACTAAGAAGTAAAGCCAACAGCTGACGTTCCTAGCGAAGCTTCGGAGCTCATGCACTTAACCATTGTGGCGCAGCCCCGCTGTGCTCAGAACTGCCGTATCATCCCAGCTCTGTGCCCCACGTAATGGTGAGCAAGCTATTCATATCTGAACTCTGGTTCTCTATCTATAAAGTGGGGATATCTGTGTCATATCTATGTCATGGAGTAGTTGTGAACATCACTATATGAAGTCCATAGCATCATGCCTCGTATTAACTACTTTCATTAGGTGCATCCAAATGTTCTCAGGTATGCCTGATCTTGCTTTGTGACGTCATGACCAACCCACGTCCATGCACCAGAGGCCAAGTGGCGTTCCCTGACCTCTTCTTCCCCTTCTCCATCCGGTCAACCAACGAGACCCATGGACTGTGCTCCTTCCCTCACACACTGTGCTTCTTCTCTCTCCTCTCTTTATCTCCTGTCTTCATTTATTCTGAGAATTGCAGGAGGAGAACCCAGCTGGTCACCCTGAGTCTATTCTTTTCCTGTCAAATTCTCCATCCTACAGCCAGAAGGATCAAAATGCATTCATGTCTCTCCCTACCCAAAATTTTGCATGGCTACAGCCTACTGTGTGTCAGATGCTGGACTTCACATACATGGTATCATTTAATGTTCGTGAGGCAGGTGCTATTGGATGAAGAACAAGAGCCTTCGAGGGGTAGAGTCCCTGGCCCGAGGTGGGGTAGCAGACGGGGCGGGGCTCCCGTCATTACATCCCCTCCCAAGTCCTACAAGACGATAAGCAACACCAGCTTCCATGCGCCTCACCTCTGGTATCCCCCACATTTGCAGAGCATCTCCTTCCGATCCTTATTTGTCCCTCATGGAAGCCCAGTGAGGCCCACAGGATGGTTATGCGATCCCCACCGTGCAGGAGAGGAAGCTGAGCCGAGAGACGATGTGGCCTGTCGAAAGCCCCCTGCAGACGGTGTGTGCATGACTCACACCCGAAGTGTCTGATGCACCATCCAGTTCTCAGCCTGACCCTTCAGAGCCTAGCCACCTCACTCACCAACGCCTCCACCCCTCTGATGGCACCATGACAGCATCGGGACGCAGACCGGAGCGGAAAGGGTGGACATCCAAGCCACTCACCTGAGCTATCAAGTCTCCATTTTCCGCGTGGACCAAGATCACAGCTCCCAGCCCCTTCAGGAAGGTGAAGGCTTCATAGAGCTGAGGGAGAAGCAATGGGGTGGGGGGGGGAGATAAAAATATCACAGCCTGAGCGTTTGCAAAGACGGCTCTTCTGCTCAGTCGCCCACCCGCCAGCCCCTGCCGAGGCAACACGGACGCTCTGTTCATACCGATGGAATGTGTTGCTCAACAAGTTAAGCCTTGGAAAGGGTCTCCCCTTGACCCTGACACCCTCCGGATCCCAAAGCAGGAGGCTGGGGGAAGGGCAGAACTGAACGAAGCCACACCACGGCACGAAATGCCCTCGGTCCTGGTGCTCATCTTGCCTTTCGCCCTCGATGTGGCTCCATCCCACACAGGTGCCTGCCGCTGTTGCTGGGGACAGCCACGCTGAGATGCTGGTTTTAGTTCTACTGAACTTGTGTGACTAGACGTGCTCAGCTTGTGCTGTGGGCCGAGTTCTCTAATAACTCTAACCCTCAGGTAATACACACCCCGCCAGGCATCCGCTTACTTAGCCGGTGCAGGCCCTGCCCACTGCCCATGCCCTGCTCCCACCTGCAGAGGACCTGCACTCAGACACGTGCCCGCGGTGAGGACCAGAGCCGCCACGTTCCCTCTCCAGGGCCTCTCGAATTTTAACTTTGTTCTGCATGCGTGCAAGACAGCACCCCACCCCAGGACGTGTGCTTTTAGATGCAACAGCAGGGGGCGGGCGAAGTGGGGGGCACTTGGGAGCAGGAGGCACCTTCCAGGACCCCCATGGCTCAACTCCACCTGTCCCTGGGGCTCTGGTGGTTAGAATGAAACAGGCGAAAATCTCGGTTATGCTAGACAGACACATGCTACTTTGTCATGAAACTGAACCAATTTTAGCCTTTCCGTGACAATCAAAGGCCTGTAGGGCACCTTGGGGTAAGTTATTCTCTGTAACTCCAGTTTATTTTGTTTTTGTTTTGTTTTTTTAATTATGTTATGTTAATCACCTCCAAGCGTTTATTTTGAAAGGTGAGACCTGGACACGTCTCTCGTTGCACATCGAACTGCATGGTCATAAGGAATAACAGCTTCTCAGCGCCCATATGTGTGCCAGGCACTGTCCTAGAGTCATGTATTATGAATTCATTCAATCCCCTGACAACCTCTAGGAGGCAGGTGCTCTCATGAGTCTAAAGCACAGAGAGGTTGGGAAAGCTTCCTCAGGCCGCACAGCAAGGCCAGGGTTGCAGCCAAGCAGTCTGGCTACGGCATCCATGCCCTCTGCCGCCACACTGCCCCACAGTTTTAACCAGCAGAGGGCAGGACAATGATAATAAAACCCGGAGTCCCAGTGGTGTCAGAAGGCCCGGTGCCCGGCAGACAATAACCCCAACACCCTGCACCACTTAGAGCATCACTTTCTCGAGCTCCTCTCACCCACACGACAACTGTTGGAAACCGGCAGGGCCAGAGATGGCCACGCTGCAGGGGTGAGAAAACTAAGGGAGGGAGACCTCAGTCACTCGATTGGCTAGAGAGAGAGCCAGGGCTCCCCTCTGGGTCAGAGCTAATGATGTGGTGCCCGTACTTGCTAGATCTCCAGAATGAACTGCCGAGCTTTCGGAAAAGTACACTTTCCCGAGCCCTGCCCTGAACATCCGTGGTGGGATCTAAGATCTGTCCTTTTTTTTAAGATTTTATTTATTAATTTGAGAGACAGAGTGAGTGAGAGGGGAAGGGAGAGAGAATCTCAAGCAGACTCTGCACTGAGCACAAAGCTTGACGTGGGGCTCGATCCCACAACCGTGAGATCATGACCTGAGCTGAAACCAAGAGTCGGGAGCTTAACCGACTGCGCCACCCAGGAGCCCCTAAGAATCTGTCTTTTTTTAATGAGTTTTTTAAATGATGCTAAGGATGAGGTGGATTTGGGAACCACCAGGCAAAGGGATCCCGCACTCAACCCCACTCTAGTAGCCAGACAGGAATGCAGGCAGGGGTGGGGACCGACACAGGTCACATAGTAATGCAGTGTCAGAGCCAGAACTTGAACTCAGAACTCTCCCCTGCCCGTTCTGAAAGCTCCCTTGCTTCCTGCCCAGGAGAGGGGGTGTGCAGGAGGAGGACCTACCTGGCTATCAGACATTTGGTAGAGATCCTTATATGCCATGTAGACTTGGAAGGAATTGACACCTGTTTCAAGATAAAAAAGGAAACAGAAAAATGCATTTAAGAAAAAAGCGTTCCTTTTCAGTAAATCAAGGATCACAGTACAGAGTGGTAACTGCTAGGACAGAAGGGTGCCACTGGGCCTCACAGTGGGGGCACTGAACCCAGCCTGGGTATGTGTGTGGGGCAGGGGGGATCAAAGGAGGCTTCCAGGGAAGCCACACAGCTGTATATGAAGGAGAAGGGGAGGAGGAGGGAGAGGAGGGGGAGGGGGACTATTTGGACTGAGAGGCGGGTGTGCATGGGTATGGACGGTAAGGTGGATGAAAAGACACAGAATGTGAAGGTACTAGAAGTGTCCTATGGCTCGATCCAAGGGAACATGTGCTTTTTTTTTTTTTAATCCCCTACTTTATTTATTATGGTCAAATACATATAACAAAATTCACCATCACGGCCATTTTCAAGTACACAATTCAGTGGCATTTAGTGCATTCAAAATGTTGTGCAACCATCACCACGATCTACCAGAGCATGTGTTTTTTAAAGCAAGGTGTGACATGCTCAGACTTTTTTGACTCAGAAAGACTATTCTGGAAGTAGTGGGGAGGATGGGTCCGCAGAGTGGCAGAGGGAAATGGCAGGTGGGAAAAGGATGCTGAAGGTCGATGGGACAGGTGTGCCGAGGCTCTGAGCCAGGGCGGGAGCTGCAGGGGTGGGGGATTCAAGAAGGTTGAAATGACAGGACTTCATGTGCTGTGTGGACAGGCCACCAGGGAGCAGGGGACGTAGGAGACTCTTCCCTAACACGCCTTCCATGTGCATGAGGACAGGGACCATGTCTTCTATACTATTTCAATTTGCACACCCGTAATATGTGCTGTGCAATGAGTGTTTGTTCACGGAATCCGGAAATGTCTGGGTAAGAATATGCATTTAGGGCAAAAGTATTAAATGGGATTGAGAATTCCTTTATACTAAAATAATGGCAAAGACAAACCAAAAATCTTTTCTTATGCAGAGAGCCAAGGCAACAAAAATTCCCTGTCCACATTATCAGAAAAAAATTTAAAGAATAAAATAAGATACCAAAATTAACATTAAAAGTATCAGTTTCTAATTAATCAGGTAGACTTAAATAAAAATAATAGGCAATTCATTGATATTGTATTCCTTATAATCTTTTTTAAATCTAAAAACAAAAACTCAGTATATACAGAGACACAGATCAATTACCAGTGAGTAAAAAGATAAAACTATAAGGAGAGGCTAAAAAAATGCTTCATTATTTATTAAAGGTGAGGGGAAATGAATATTAACCTATTAAGCTTCCATGATAAGGATTTTTTTTCATGATAAGAAATTAAAAAAAAAGAAAATTCACCAGAAATTAGAAGTAAATGACACAAACAAAAGCAGAAATAATGAATTAGCAAACGTGGTAAATTTAATAAATACATCCTAAAACTGCATCTTGGGGTGAGTGAACAGGGTCAAGTCATCTCACATTGAAAGTTATCTCAAAAAATCATGACAGATTTGAATTGTTATTAATAGAAACCTTCTGTAAGTTAATTCTTAAAACCTCAAAACAAAAAGCAAATAACCAACACGGTAAATATATCTGCAACAAATTTAACAGGGGTTTTTAAAAAGACCCTCTTATTTAGAAAACACCAGTGGTTACTTTTGGGGGGAGGAGGATGTCATGACTGCAATGGGGCCCATGGATAGTCCATTGGGGGGCATCCGGCAAAGTTTTACTTCTTGCCCGAGTGGGGTAGCCTCATAATAACTCATAAAGCCACATTTTTTATCTGTGTGGTTTTTCTGTTTCCGCTTTATGTTAAAAATATTAAAATAAAAGGGAAGAAGCCTAAAACCCCAAAGGTAAACAGTACTTTCAGACAAGGAAAAAAAAAAAAGCGGCTAGCTAATAAAGATAAAGAGATTTGGTCTTATTTGTAATCAAAGTAATTTGAAATAAAACCTCAGTATTGTACCACAGTTGAAAATATGTTGCCCAGTGCTAGTGAATGTGCGTCAAAATGAGTCCCTCCTACATACCAATTTGCACCGGCTTAAAAAACCAATTAAGCAATGCGTATCAAGAGTAGTAAATGTTCCCGTATATTTAGCCTGATAACTCCTAGCAACAGAGCCTTGGAAACACGGTGAGTCCTGGAATTCCCCAAGCCTCCCAAATTCACATATACCATCATCCTAGCTTTCCTCCAAGGAGGTGGCACGGGATACCAATTCTCAACGATTGTGCTGAGCACCTACCGGAAGTCAACCCTTTCATGATACCCTCCAGTTCTCAGAAACCCCTCTCACTCGATCCACCCCATAACCTTGGAAGCAGCCATGTCCATACCATGTGACCCCAGACCACAGATGTTAGTGCAGGGCTGGGCATCCGGCAGATGCTGAGCTGAGCCGGGAGGAGGGACAGAGCCCACTTAACACCCCAAAACACCTGGCTGGTGTCTTAAACAGAGATGTACAACCCAGACAGAGGGTGGGCTGCTGCCTTCCAGCATGGTGGCTACAGGAGTAGAGAATGCAGGTCAAGGGTGAGGGGAGAACAGAGCTGGCTCAAAGGGAAAAGCACAGATGAGCACGAGGCAAGACTCCTTGGTGGGGATCCTTGGATACACATCATTATCACCAAGGCCAATCTGCTTCATTAAACTTAAGCCAAGCTCTGGGGGGATTCTGTTGTTTGCAGTCAAACCCGGGGATGCTGATATCTAGATTGGTGAAGAAAAACGGATTCCTCCACAGTAAACAGGTTTCTTTACTGCAGGGCTTCTCACAGATTTTAACATGATCATGTGTGTTAAGAATATTCAAGAACAGAATAAACAGCATTTCCCAAACTTATTGGACCCCAGAAGTCCTTTTTCATGGAATATTTATTTTCTCACTCATCAAATATTTACTGAGAGCTTCCTATGCGTGAGCACCATTCTAGAAGTTGGAGATACAGCTGTGAACAAGGAAGGAAGGATGCTTGTCTACATTCTACTGGGAATAAGCCATAAGTGAGTAAGTAAGTAAGGTAATTTCAGGCAGAGATGAGAGCTAGGAAGAAATTAAACAGGCGGGTAAATTTTTTTAAAGTTTCACAAAAGTTCTGCAGTGACTCTGTCTCTCCCAAGAGGCAGAGTCTATTTCCCCACTCCTTGAACTCGGGCTGGTCTGGAGACTTGCACTGACCCAGGCGCCATACTGGCTCCAAGCCACGCCTCGGGGCTACACGCTCACCTTGGAGCCCCGCGTGAAGAGGCTCGGGAGACCCTCTGGAGGACAGGACATGGAGATGTACGTTTGGTTTATCCATTCACCCACCAAGGGACAATTGAGTTGGTTCCAGCTTTGGCCTGTTGTGCCTAAGGCTGCTATGAACACGGGTGTACAAATATCTCCAAATCCTTGCCTTCAAGTCTTCTGGATAAATACCCAGAAGTAGAGTTGCTGGATCATAGGGTCCTTCTATTTTGAATTTTTTAAGGACCCTCCAGTGTGCATTCCTACCAATGGTGCCCCAGGGCTCCCATCCCCCGACATGCCATGCTTATCAACACTCGGTATTTTCAGTTTTTTTGGTAACAGCCCTTCTAATGGGTGTGAGGTGGTATCTTATTGTGGTTTTAACAGTGGCTGTTTTCAGCCACTGGGTTTTGGAGTGGTTTGTTATAAAACAAAGGCTAACGGATACAGAAATCTTTGCCTAGAGGTCAGGTGTCGCAGTGGCCAAAATCTAACACGTGTCACCGGCCTTGGGACTGGGTAGTGGGTGGATGTCAGAACAGTCCTGAGGAAACTGGAGGCCAAAGGCTGGAAAAAACAGCCAACACACTGTTAGTGGAGGGTGGGAAAGGGGCCACTCTTATTAGGCAGCAGCAACACAAGAGGAAAAAATTGCCACTTGTGATAATGTACTCAGAGAATTTGCAAATCTGCCTAAAGTGACTTTCATGAAGAACGTAATTAAGTGCCTAAGCTGAGTATGATGAAGCACCAGAAGACAGACATCAAATAGGACCGGAGAGACAAGGATCGGTTCAGTTTGCAAGCGGAACTGAGTAGACACGCAGGACTGCTTCTCATCTCTACTCTTGCCAACCCACAAACAGTTCTCAAAGGAAAAAATGACCTCAGGGTAAAAATTAAATCAAGGGTGTGCCCAGAACTCTTTGTTAAGACCTCCTAAAAACCCAAGGTGGTGCCCAGTAAACTTCCTTGGGCAGACAAAAGGGCTTCCAAGAATCTTAAAGGTGTCACCACATGGCACACACCAACAGTCACCTAAAGAAGCTTGTCTCAAAAAAACTGTTGTTTGGTGGAGTGAACTATAATGTGATCCACTGGAAACCCACAATGTTTTTAAGAAAACTGTACCCTCTTTGACTAAGAGAGACTGAACCTATTTAAAAGGAAAGGGGGCCTCTGGCCACCAACTTTCTATGGGTAAGGAAAAGGCTGAGACAGGTGCTTTGCTGCAAACATGGGCCATCTTCATGGAAAGTGAACTCTATTTTCAATGGTCAAGCCAAGAGTCCCCAGAGTAGAGCTGGAGCTATGCAAGCACTAGTTTAGCACAGGGGACAGGAAGCTTTTCTGTAAAGGGCCAGAGAGTAAATCTTTTAGACTTTGTGGGCCACATGTAGTTTCTGTTACATATTCTTTGTTTTCTGGTCATTGTTGTTTTTGTTTGGTTTGTTTTGTTTTGAAAAACCCTTAAGAATGTAAAAACATTCTTGGTTGATGAGCTGCACAGAAACAGGCCACGGGCCATATTTGGCCCACAGATTGGTGTTTGCCAACCCCTGAACTTGGGCACTACTCCCAAGGGGAAAGACTGGCCCTGACAAAGGAATATTCTCTACCCCCAGAGGTCTGCCCGGCAATATGTGTCCAGCTGGATTCCAGAATTTCTAGGGGGTTATGACCATGTGTCACTTGCTTTCTCTCTTTTCAGATGGGAGTGTTTGTTGTGCTTGACCTGTCCATGCCCC